AGTCTAAATCACACTTTACAACCCCATTTCCTAAAAAAGAAAAAAAAAAGCTCCACCAAATACAAGTTACAAAAAAGACAAACGTCCAGCTGCAGTTAAATATTAAGCAACTTTATTCCTGCAGTGTGACACTTTAGCTTGAGGTCATAAAATAAAGTCCACGGGTTAGCAACAAAGTTGTTTTCTACATTATGCTCCTGGAGTTGTGTCTTCTTTCCTTCTTCATACACATTGGAAGATGGTGAAGTTTTTATTCTACTTCTCAATAAAAACATGAACAAATAGTAGTGCTCTTTTTGTTGTATTTAAATAAAGATTCCCAGACATGCATTATACCTAGTACTGGACTAAACTGCATTTTTCTTTTAGTGTTGGACTAGGCTTTCTGGGAAGCATGCTGCTACTGCTTAAATTTTTTTTTTTTTTTTTTTTAATCAGTTATTTTACAGTTTGGGTTTTTTTTTGTTTTTTTGGAAAATAGGGTTGTGTGAGTAAAGACATCTCCCATCAGGTCACCACCTTATCATTTTTACTTCATTGCATCATGTAGCAAATTAAGGTCGCGCCACTACTCGATTATTTAGTCCTGTGATCGCCACATACTGTTAAGCTGAAACAAAGCTGCTTTAACTGCCTTATTTTTCCTCACTTTTATTCTGCCACTCATGCTGTGTTTTGTATAATCCCCCTCCTGCCAAAAAAAAGGAAGAAATGTTGATAAAAATGTTGCAAATCCAATATAACGACCAACAAGTTTTTCTTTCTTGGTGGACAAACCAGTGTTAACTATGCTAAGAGCACAGGTCCAATGCAGATGATTTAATTTTAAAAGGTTTCTATAATCACAGTGCACCATGAATATGTGTAAGCAGTGAGTCACTTATCCTAACAGCATTAGTGGGCTAAAAACTCACTGCATATACATTCAGTCTCTTTGAGCTACTGGATTTGAAGTGAGACAGAGCAAGCACACACACTCGCACGCATTTACAGCGGCAAATAGGCATCATCCCATGATATTCTCCATACGTCTCACAGCAACAGCACATACACATTTATATTGCCTTCACATGGAGTGCAAATAATATTCTTTGGATTTTTTGTTACAAGAAAACTACCTAGTTAATTTTGCCTTAAAACCTCATTAGCTGTAAGCTAAAGGAAGAATCTTCAAGTTCTTTAGTTCTTAGCAATCGTGGCAGCAAAAAACTAAAACTGTATTCTAAGCTATCATACATGTACAGCATTTTGATATGTTGAAGTAGTACTGTAACTTGTTGGCGATGGGAGCATTTTAAGCTGGTTTTATGATTAAGCATTTAGAATTCAGGAACAGTTTCAAGCATCTGCTTTTGGCATATACTTAAACAGTCACCTTACATTTGAAAAAATAGGCATAATAGTTTCAGCAATGGAAATACAAAACAAGAAAAAGATGTGCTGGAAGTATTGGTACAAAAAAATGAAATAAATATCAGCATTGAGAGACTAAAGAGGTCCTCTTTCTTCTGAGTTGGATGAATATTTCTGAGACACATTCCATAACTTAAGCTTCTGGGCATCCATAAGAATCCCTGCAGCTCTTTATTTATCTGATGTTGCTTCATTAGCAATGAAAGATGTAAAACTTGGTGTGCTTATTTAACAAAAAAAAAAAAAAAAAAAAAAGATATAATATTTGGCCTTCTTAATGTGGTCGGGCCCTATTAGGTATGTGTGGATGAAGGCGATATGTCCCTGGGTGACTTCCAGGTTTCTCCTGCTGCTTCACAGGTTTCTGCAGGGCTACAGGAGCAGATGCAAGCAGGCCCCCTGCTGTGTGGGAGCTGTTTGTAGAGGAGGAATTGACCACCAGTTCAATTTTCCCCTCCAGTTTTACAAGCCGTGTCAGAATGTCATCCAGTAACACAGCTATAGTCCTCTTCAGGTCAGCTATTTGAGTAAAGTACAGAGAAAAAGACAGAAGGGGGAAAAAATCAGTCCTTGAGGCTGCTTTTCTTGCAACTATGAGACACACTTGTCATGTAGGTATTAGTAAAATATGGTGCAATATCATCATACTTTCCATTTAAAAAGTATGGTAATATTGCACCACTTCTGAATTTTTCTAAATTCTTACCATATCCTGCCATGGAGGTTCCTTGTGGCCCACCTGGTGCATTCTGGTTCTCTTCTGTCAGCACTTTGACATATCGCCGGCTTAGCTCCAGTATCTTCTCACGCAACTCTGCACTGCTCTGATGGCGAGGCTGCTGCACAGTGTACCTCAGCAGCATAAGTCCCCATGCCAGGCCAAATGCCAGGAGTAGCATACTCAGCTTCTGAGACATGTTCCTACGCAGTAGTGCAGCCAGCATGGTACTGTGGTGAAGGGGAAAGGTGGCTATGAATGCCCGGTCTGAGGCTGAAGGTCTTGAGTTCTTTGAATTTTTAAACAATCAGCTTGACAACGTAGCAGTTCCTGCAGGAAACAAATCCTGCTGTCCTTAGTCAAACAGAGGTCAAAGCTGTCAAAGTCTGCTGCACATCCTGCTCATCGTGAGGGGATATGAAGAAGTCTGGAGTAACAGCAGAAGCCAAGAAGTGTAGCCACAGACATCGGCACTCAGGGGTGTTTGGAAAGGTGCTTGGGTTGCAAGATGTGTGAGACCAAATCACCAATGCAGACTGGGTTTTTAGGCAGGGGATCAGCAGACATGGCTGAAAATGCTTTAAAAACAAACAAGAACAAGAAAAAGAAGACAACAGACAGAAATAACATTAATATAGAAGGAAAAACATGCTTACATTAGGGATGCAATGAAAAATCTGACAAAACAATTACTTTAAACACTGCAGCAAAACTCCCTCCCACAATCCAAAGACATGCAGTTAGTGAGATAAGGTTAACTTGTGATTCTAAATTATACACAGGTGTTAATGTGAGTGTGACTGATTCTCTCTCTCTGTGTGTGTTAGCCTTGCTTCAGACTGGCGACCTCCCCAGGGTGTACACCATCTCATGCCCTATGGTAGCTGGAATAGCCTCCAGCCCCCCACGACCCTAATAAGGATGAGCAGAAGAAAATGGATGAGATGGATTTTTTTTTTTTTTGCAGTGCTGCAATGTCATGATTAAAAGAAAAAAAGCTTAAACCCATTGCAGTCTCATTTTTGTTCATCCTCTAAATTTGTAAGGGCTCACAATGTTTTTAAACACAGAATGAGTATTTCTGGGTGAGTTAATGAAAGCACAACCTCATGTGAATTATCACATCTATCTTATCATTAATAGCAAGGTTTCCTGAAATACCTTGTTGTTACTAGTGACATTTTCCCCCTTTTACTGCTTTTGGTTACAAACACTAAGCTACAAATCTCTTTCAGCCCTCTTAGCCCAGAAACCTGATTACTAGTTTAGATTTCACCGTACCTACTTTGCAGCTCCAAATAGGGGAGAGAGAAACAGACAGAGGGCATTCATACCCCAATCCCACAATGGGCACAATAGTGACAAATAATCTGCAAGCGCACTGTGCACAGTCAAAGCACATTAGACAATTTCTCAGCTTTCACAACTTTGTCACCAGGTTCATTTTCTGAAAAATCTCTTGGGTGAGGGAGTGTCACTTCTTTTTGTGAGGCTGGAGAGGAGATGGTGATTGAGCAGATAAATTATGAAAAGATGAGTAACACAATCTGTTAAGTGATGCTTCTCATACACGCAAACATGTCCTTTCTGTGACCTGGGCAAAACCAGTTATCAGCAAATACAAACTCAACTAGGAAGAAATTCTTAAAGTAACGGTATAAGTAAGTCAGGAAGTGAGACTCTTGTCATGACCGGACCATAATTTCATGGAAACACAAACGTTTCAGACAAATAATCTTCCACCTGGTTAGAGGACTGTTTAACACAGCGTGCCTAATCGGGCGCATGGCTTATCGGACTCCTTACCAGCCATTCACATCTATCCCAGAAGTTAAATATTGACCACAACAGCTGTCGCATGTCATCTGCACAGGCAAACAACTGGCAGGGTCAGCGAATGGTTCAATTGGGCGACAGGTGCGCAATACCGAACTGTCAACAGTGCTTGGGTTTTACAAAAAAACAAAATACAGAACTTACTGAACCTGTTTATCACCTAGCAGAATATAAAATAAACATGTTTAAAGTAGATTATCCAACCCAGCACTGAAAACGAATCCAAACCACACGTGTGCTTCGTTTCTGATAGGCATTTCGGGACATTTGTTTTTAACTACTTAACAGTCACTGAAGCGGTTTCCAACTCTGTCGATATTTCACGTTAGCTCGACATTTCTGCTCGCCAGCACTGAAACCATACAGTCAACAGCGAAAAGGGAAGGTAAACCTTTTTCGTGTCCCAAAACCTTTCAAAAAACACACATTTCAACCCACCGTGTTATCTGGGAAACTAACTTGAACTGAAGCGGAAATTTGCAGGCTGCAGATAGGCAGTGACGAGGCGACTGTGAGCTCCAGCGGCTACCGGTGGCTGACACTGAATGATGCTTGTTGTTTGGCAACCCAGGGGTGTTGTTGCTGTGTTGTGAACGGCACCCTCCCTTTGTTTCCGTTAACGAAAAGTTAGCTACCGAACTTCGAGTGAAGGTGTCTTTTCCGGCTCAAAGTCATTCCGCCGCCTTCCGACACAGCCTCGAAAAACCGACGGGGTCTCTGTATGCAAAAGTCGGCAGCTAAATTCCAAGCATGCAACTGCGCTGAATGTCATGGTTCCACTGGACGTCTCGTGCATGCGTCAGTGCTATTGAATTATGGGAAATGTATTCATACCCTACTTATCGTGGTGTATCGCCTCTAACCAAATATTTTATTGAATTACTTTCGTTTATCTACGAGTATTATTTAAGGGGAAACCTTTAAGTAACAATGAGTTTATTCCGTAAAAAAGAAATCATACGGCATATTGTAACGTTCACGACGATAGCAAGCCACAAATCCGTCATTGCTTTGTGTGCGCGTGTGTGTAGTTCACCCTGCGCCCATTAGAGGGAAGTCTAAAACCATCTCCATGGCAATTTTAAAACTGGTTGTAAACACAAAGAGTAGCTACTGTGCAAGGAGCGAGCTACAGCTACAAGTTAAACCCTCTAACAACATGGAGAAAATAGATCTCGATCAATCCGCTTTAAAAGCAGTTGATGACTACTGGGAATACAGAAGGTTTGTTTGGCGAGTGTCTTTTGACTGATGGTTTTGGGTTTTCAGTCACCGTCACGTGACAGCTTTTGCCAAAGTTAACATAGCGACTATGCTATTACACTTAGATAAGCTCGTATTATAGGAAAACAAGGAATATAAATAGATTTAACTGTATGTAATATTATTCCTATTGGTGGTTCGTCTTCTGAAGGATTGTGGGTGATGATGATGGAGAAAAGCTCTTCACTCCAGAGCAATATGAGGAATACAGGAAGAAGATGTTTTCTCAGCGACTTAAAAACCGGTTATATGTGAGCTATGGAGTGCCTGGGGGTATTGACTGTAAGCTGATTGGCCCAGAAACACAGTGCTTCTGTGCACATAGGTAACACATTCCTTTATAACTCACACACTCAGACATCCTTCTCTCTTGCACATGCTCAGTAATGAAATGTAATCCAGGTACAAGCAACATAAAACAGACTGGGAAGTGGTTCCCTCTGAGCGACCCCTGGCCTTACCATGCAGAGTCAAGGGATGCTGCTGCCCTGCCTACGAGTACGTCCCTCGGCTTGGACCAAACCCTGTGCGCTGCAGGTGTAAACACTTACCTCAACATCACAGTGAAGCAGCAGGCCACTTGTGCAAGTCTTGTGAGTCTGAAATCACTACATTTTAAAACTGTATTACAGGTTTACTCCACTCAGTGTGAACTCCAGCACCTATGTGGACTCTTGTTCTGCTGACTTTTTTATCAGGCAGTTCTTGTTCTGGATTCCAGAGTCCCTACACCTGTGGGTGTGGCCAGCCCAGCTCTGAACACCAGACTCTGGTAAGACAACTCAAACATCAAACATGTTTTCTTCTTGTTAAAGAAGCAGATGCTAGATCTAGATTTCTATTACTCTGCATAATTTCAAATAAAACTTTATTGTGTTTGCTCTATCTTCTTGGCAGGTTGAGACAAAACTGGAGAGGCAGGCACGCGGTCAGCCTGTGGGCAGGGATGTCCCTTATGCTGCCATGGGTGGGCTGACAGGGTTCAGCTCCTTGATTGATGGTTACCTAGCTTTGGAAATCAGTGGCTCAGGTAAGACTATAACTGCATATAACCTTTTTGTCTTTCTTCCAAGGGAAGCAAAAGTAGAGATCCGTTTTTACACATGTATGGTTTAACACCAACACCCTATAAGCACTAAGACCATTAAAGCCCTTTTTTTTTTTTATCTCAGGCTCTTTGAATTATAGAGTGAGGGATTTGGTGATCCAGCCTTTGCTAGGGTGTTTTTGGATGCATTCAACTGTATGTACTGTTAGTTCCATTAAAGCACATAGGAGGGCAGCAAAGTGCAGTGGAGTGTCAGTGTTGAAATGAAGAAACCTGCAGTGCTGCGATTTGTTCATGAAAAGTGAAAAGTGTAGAGTAAAGACTGTGTGTGGTTATCTCGATTTGGAGTACAGCTGTGTGGACACAAAAATATATGTCTTTCTTTTGATTATAGTACAGTGTGTAAAAAAGATTCAAACTTTATGCAGTGGACTGATTACTCCATAATTTTGCATATATTTTGCAATGACACCTCCTTCCATACATGATTTCCATACTCTCTGCTGTATTTTTTTTTAGATCAAGAAAGCCCTCAGCAGAGCTGCTCGGCATTAAAGACCAACCAAACATCAGCTAAAGCATCAAGGTTTGCTCTCTGTAAGAGAGGGACCAACAAACAATAAAATACAACATCGGTTTGTGTGTATCCATAGGATAATGAATATGAAATACTCAATACATACATATTTGGACAATGCTGGGAGATTTTAGATAAAAGAAAAAAGCTTTAATTCAAGGGTTTAACAAAAGTCCTGCATTGACTGTTTAAGAATTACAGCTGTATAACTAAATGGGGGTGTGGCGAAATGCAGATTGTATGTGGATTGCAGGCAGTGAGTAAGCATTGTAAGAATTACAGCCATTTTTATACACTATCCCCCATTTACAGAGGCGTAATTAGATAAACCTGTTATGAAACGACTGTATGCAGGCAGGAAAAGGACCCAAAGTGCAGACTCCGGAGACAAACGTTCAGCACAGCTTTAATGCTGAACTCAAAAGTGTAACAAAACTGAGACTACAAAATACACCTACGCAGACAGCACACACAGCGAGATACGAGTAGATCATGACACTGACAAACTGAAACACAGGGCTTAAATACATAGAGGGAGCAATCAGGGAATGGGCAACAGGAGGGAAACACAGCTGGGGCAAATCAGGCCTAACGAGACAAGGGGAAGCAAAACCAGACACATTAACATGAGACATGGACTTTCAAAGTAAAACAGGAAACATAACACAGACTCACAGGCAAGCACTATAACAAAGGGAACAGAGACGTGGGACCAGGGCAGACACAGACACTGACTGGACGTGGGGATACTGCAGACAGGGGAGACAGCAACTATGGAACACAGACAGAAAACCAGAACACTAAAACTCTAACCAAACCCCACCCAGAGAACCTAAACTAAGAATAATCCTAAAACCCATAAAGCAAAGCTAGAATATAATGAAATAACAAAATCAAAGAACCAAGAACACAAAACACTGGGTCGACGACCCAGGGACCCTACCAAAACCAGCATAATTTGAAATAGGTTATTTTTAATACTTCTGTGAAAATCCTGCGCAGTCAGTGACTGCCTGAAGTCTAGAACCCATGGAGATCATCAAATGCTCTTTTTCCTGCATGAGATGCTCAGTGACCTTCTGTTGCTGCTTTTGGGTGTATGTGCTTTGAGTTTGGTCTTCAGAAACTATAAAACACACTCTGTTGGGCTCAGATTGGATGACTGGCTTAGTCATTGAAGAATATCCCATTTCTGTGCATTGTGAAACTCTTCGGTTGCTCTTGCAGTATTCTTTGGGTCATTATCCATTTGCACTTTGACATGGTGTTCCAGTTTTGCAGTATTTGGCTGCATCTGTGCACACAGTATAGTCCTGTAGAAAGCTACTTTAAGCTGCAGTCTTATTCACAAGAGGTCGCCACAGGGGTAGCTCGCATGTTTGATTCGGCAGATTTTTTACCGTAGGTTGGCCTTCCTGATGTAACCCCAAAGGGATTTGTGTCTCCCCTTGGGATCGAACCAGAGATTTCCCGCTTATTAGGTGAATGTGTAAACCGCTTACTGCTATATTTAGATTAAGGAATCCACAGGCTATGTTTGCAGCCTGCACTGTGCATACTATCTGCATACAGTCACACCCTCATTTCTCTGCATATGCTATGGCTGTAATTTACAATCAGTTGATGCACTACTTTTGTTAAACCCCCTGAATTAAAAATCTGAAACTTCGAAAATCTGCACATCACATGTTGATTGTTTGATTTAAAATCTACCATGTGTGCAGAAGCAAGACTAAGGTTAAAAAAATGTCATTGGACTGCAAAGGTATGCCTTTTTCAGAGTTGAAGAACAAGCAGCTTGGTTCAAAGTGAAATCATTTCAGCTTTCACTGAAAAGTATGTCTTTGTCAGTGTCGTGACAAAGTGATATAATCAGCTGTCAGCAAAAGCTGTGACTAAATCCCACCATGCAACTGAACAATTACTGACAATACAGTATATCGGTTCAGTCAAAGAGCTGAGTGGGGGAACCACTGGCAACATTATTACGATGATCCAGATTTTGACACACTGTTTTTGTGAACTTTTAAGAAGACGAAACAATGCTTTATCAAGTAGATGTTGTCTGTTTTATAATGCTGTTTGTGCTGCCATGATGCATAAACCACGGTCCTCTTTATTTGGCGTCTCTGCTGAAACTCACAAGTGTGACTATGATGGTAAAAATTAAGATATGATGTATAATAATGGATTGCATTTATATAGCGCTTTTCGAGACCCTCAAAGCGCTTTACAATTCCACTATTCATTCACTCACACACTGGTGGAGGCAAGCTACAGTTGTAGCCACAGCTCCCCTGGGGCAGACTGACAGAAGCGAGGCTGCCATATCAGCCCCTCTGGCCATCACCAGTAGACGGTAGGTGAAGTGCCTTGCACACAATGACCGAGACGGTCCGAGCCGGGGCTCGAACCGGCAACCTTCCGATTACAAGACGAACTCTTGAGCCACAATCGCCCTGAATGACTAAATTATTTATTTAGTCATCTTCAGTTGAATTATTATTAAAGTTATTTAAACTCAAATTAATCCAAAGGTCAACCTTTTTAAAGTATATAAGACTACAATTTTCCTAAAGTCTGTGTGTAATTGTATTAAACAACTGTGATCTCAGCAGTGGGCAAAATAAGTGCTATTAAGTTTTGTTTTGTTTTTTCCATAATCAAGCAGCCCTGGCAGCTTTCTCAAGAGCCACTCATCATCTACACGAGTGAGAGACTGAAGACATTTGTAACAGCAAACCAAAGATGAAAAATACAAGACTAAATTAAAACCTGCTCAGCTATCATTTTGAGTTTTACTCAATCACCATCATAACATTTTTCTAAGATTTGGAACCTGTTCACCAGCTATCTTTTTTCCTAAACTTTTCCACCCGTCTATCTTCTTCCAGTTTTCCTATTCAGGGTCATGGGGGCCTAAAACCTATGCCAGCTGTCATAAGAGGAAAGGAAGGATGCACCCTGGACAGGTCGCTGATCTATCACAGGGCCAACAAGTTGAGGGTTACGACCATTCTTGCTCACATTCACATCTATAGCCATTTTATAGTCATGTGAAAAAGAAAGTTTTCTCATGGGTGGTTCTTCTTTGTTTGAAGAATTTAAGGTCATTGTTTTCTGTGTGTCTTGATTGCTCTCTTAAATTGTGCCTTACAATGTTGCTTCAGCTCAAGGAGGTTTATGGACATTTGTATATACATAGCTCTTTCAAGGTCCAATGCATTTCACTCAGGTTCAGACCTGAACTTTTTACTGGACTACTGCAGGATCTTGACTTTTCCCCCCCCATTCATTCTGTTGTAGATTTGCAGCTGTACTTGGGATCATTGTCCATTTTCTTTAGCTATGGCCTTTTTAGTATACAGAGGAGTTCATGGTCAACTCAGGGATAACAAGCTGCCAAGGTCCCGTGGCTGCAAAACAAGCCAAAGTCATCTTCCCTCCACCACCGTGCTGACAGTAGGTGTGTTTGGTTTTCTCCAAAGTGACACAAAGGCCAAAGATTATTGTCACAAATGTTAGCATCTAATTGAGAGCTGTAGAGTCTGAGCTCGAGCACTTGGATTTTCTTTTACAATTTTTCTGAGCGTTGCATGGTTGGCCCTTGGGGTGAATTTCCTGGGATGTTCAGTTCTGGGAAGATTGGAAGTTATATTGAATGTTTTCCACTTCCAGAAATATATTTTCTATGAACTAGTGGTCCTTAAAGTTTAATTCCTAAAAATCTTATGGCAATGAATAGTCACTCTAACATTTAGTTATAAAACTGGTCAGTTTACGCATGTGAGCCATTTATGACTGACGTTTTCTTGTTGCGAAGAAGCCACCCACTCAACACATCACTAAAATAACAGCAGAATCACGGCGCTACGTGCTCACTGATGAGCGCAGTTTTTAATTTGCAGATAGATGTACTGTCTCCGATTGATTAATCCCATTCCTCACGGTAGATCAGGAATGATGAGAGTTGATTTAATCCATCCAGTGAATGACGATAGAAGCGGGTCATGTATTCTTCACTGACAGCCCACTTTCAAACGTCTTCAACCTAGAAACACAATTAATGAGGCTCCAAATGAGGATTTACTCCCACACAGATGTTCCTACTCTGATGATCGCAAGTCAAACTGGATCAGCATCCACATTGGCGGTGCCCAGTGAATTTCAAGTCACCTGTGTTGTAATGTTGGCATTACCTGAGGGAACTTGGCATGTGTTTGTGCGAGTTAGTGAGCTGAGCAGGTGGTCGTGGGGGAAAGAATGTTGGTCTGTGCTCGAAGGACGACATGGATGCACCTGGGTCTCAGCGGGCGAGTGTTTAAAAAGGAACCAAGAGGAATCTGAAATCTCAAAGCTGAAACTTCAGATTCAGAGTAAACAATGCCCATGGTATCAGGCTAAATAAAGCATGCACAGCTGTTTACACACTTCAAAATATTAATCGTGTTTCTCCTTTGCTACTTAGAAGAGAATCAGCATTCTTAGAAAAACTTTACCTATTTACAGTGTTTGCTTATTGCAGAGTGGGATGGGGTGAGGCAGAGCAAGAGGTGAAAAACCTATTAATTTAAGAGATAAAGGCCTGACGAATTAGTCTGGCACGATTACTATTTAGTGTAATTGCCTTTCCATAGCAACCTCGTTAAGGAGGCCACAGGTAATTTAGTTCAGAAACCTGTTGAGGGGAATGACTACTACACTTGACTCATCCCCATGGAAACCACGCCCTGCTTGACTGACAGATTCGACGCAACAAATCAAGAGACAAGAACGGAAGATTAAATTGGCAATTACTGCGCAAGAAGACACTTAATTACCCGTGTGACAGTTATCGTAAACAAAGACTGAATTAACTGGAGGTAAAGAACTCTTCCTGCAATTTCCCCACAGACAGAGGGGTAAAAAATATTCATGCAGGCACAGAGAAACACAACAGATAGGTTCTGACACATCATTAAAAAAAAACACTTACATGCTAAGTTAGAATCTAGGGATACAATTTTGAAGAGAATTCCCAAAATGATGCTAAGAACTCAGAGAGAGTCTATTATAACCACTTTACAAAGGGTGTAAAACAGTACCGTGCAAAATATTTGGGAAAATTAATTAATGTGGCATGTTTTCAAATTATTGCAATGGATATTTCTTATTTAACTTGCTGCATAGAAAGTGCATGACCTGCACTTTTAGCAGGAAAGAAATCTCTGGCAGAACCAGGCTTAGGAAGGCCAGCCATCTGCCACAATCAGTTGAGGATGAAAGGAGGAAGACAGCCTATGTGTACTGCTATTTATTAGCTAAAATCATGGCTTTTTGACATAAACAATAAATTGAATGAATGCATGTGTATATCCAAGGTTGCGTCTTGGCTCTTCCTGTGTTGACTTTCAGAAAAACCAGAGGTGACCAGAGGTAATAAAAGAAACAAATACTGTCAAGATCTGGCTGAGAAACTGCAGGATGTAAGGGCACACCTATACATTAGCATCTTGGCAATCATACTAGTAATTAGCATGCTGGCACGAATGACCTGCTTTATTACCTGTTTTACTT